ACAGCAGGCTAGAGGATCCTGTGAAATGTTTTGTTTTGGTTTTTAATCTGAACCCATTTTAAAATTGTCAGTCCTTGATTTGCCCAAGGAATTAATAAAAGCTACATAAGTAAAGATTTTTCTGAAGGGTTAGCTTTAACAATAAGCGTTAGAAATAGCTTACATATCCAACAATAAGGAAATGGTGAAGAAAATATGATGTCTACACTCTATGGAAGTTTATATAGAAATTCAAATAATCAGGAAGTCTAAGCATAAAATGTAATACTTACAATAAAATATTAAGAAAAAGCATGTGAATATTTTTATGATAAAAATTATATAAAGACATGTACCCACAACATTCTTAAAATGCTGGAATAGAATATAAAGAAGTGAAAATAAAAAGTTATTGGGATGGCTTATTATGAGTTTAAAATTTTTAAATTTCCTTCAATGATTTTATGATATTTTAATTAAAGTACCTCAAATTAAGAAGAGGAGAAAAAGCGATAGCTACCTGCAATATTTATTTAATAACCTAGATCAAACTATCATGGTTATATATCCTGCTAATCATTTATATTTTATTTCCATATTTTTGAGGCAGTTGGGTGATTGAATATTTGACTTATGCTGTAATCCAGTCTTCTCTTCCTTTGTACCTTTCCTTAGCTTATTAGTTAACAATCTCCAATGGTGTTATCCTTGTTTTTTTGTTTGTTTTGGGGTTTTTTGATCATTTGCAGTGTTAAAGCCAAATCAAAAAAAAAGTGAGCATCTTTCTTCAGTTTTGAGATATGAAATTATCTTTTTCATAGGTCCAAAATAAACAGCAGAATTTCATATAGTCAAACAAGAAACGTTTTAGTAATGGCTGGATTTTATTTTAAACTAACCTGTAACTCACTTCAAATCATGCTACTCAAACTCCCTTGTCAACTTTGCCAGTTTAAGTCCCGATTTCTGTTTGGTGTTGTTTTCGAAGTACCTTGTTTGACACTAAGTAATCTGGAGGAAAGTTCCCAATATGCTAATCCAAGAGACCCTCAAATAAATCATTAAAGTCAACTCAATCACACAGAAACACCTAGATTGCCTTCATTCATTCACACTGTAATTCTTCAACAATCACCATTGATATTTACTGCGAATCAACTGTCCTAGGTACTGTGCTGTGTGCCGAGTCCAAAGCAGGCCTGGACCCTCTAACTCCTCAGGGAATTCAGAGTTGTTTGGCGGGCTGGAAACCATGGCTACCAGCATGCAGTGACTAAAGTGATCATTTGATTTTAACTAACAGGTCAAATGCCTGGCTTAAATTTTTCCTTCTGGGCTTGGGAGTTAAACCCCGGGCAGCCCCAGCCCCTGTTTATTTTTTATTTTGTGACAGGATCTAAGTCATTAAATTGCCCAGGCTGGGCTAGCACTTGTCATCTCCCACTTCAGCCTCAGAGTGCTGGGATTACAGGTGTGTGCCTCTTGAAAGTAAAAGCATATGTCCAATCAAAATTACATCTGATTTGTAAAATAACGAAAGCAAAAATAAAAAGAATTTTCAAACATACAGCGGTGGTGATACACCAAAGCCGGAGCATCCTCGGACTGTTTCTGGGACCTGCTTAGTGGCAGCAGATGTGGTTTTTAGCCCCTGAATCTGAGAGGGAACAAGGCAGAAAAGCTGAGCTGTGCATTTGGAAACACAGAGCCAGGCTGTCGGAGGTCAAAACTCACTGTTGGGTGAAGGCCATGAAAGCGAGTGCTGGTCACTTACAGAAGCGTCCCCAAGCCCACCTCCCAGCAGTTTCAGTAAAGACCTGGTGTAAAAGATGTTCATATTTGGGTACCTAGTGATCGTGCACCCCTCCAGCTACTCGGCTTCAGATCAGGGTGGCCACTGCGACTACTGCTGACCATGAGAACGTGTTTCGAATTTTCTTCCCCCTCATTATCTACCCAGTATTTCTATTTTTCAGACAAGTTTTCACTTCGGAGAAATAGCTGCCTACACGCACTCTTTCATAAATTAAAATGGTGGCTGTAATGCTCATCCCCATGATCCATCCCAGTTGAGAACCTCCTTGGCCATTGTGCCCACCACAGGGCTTGTGGCTGCGTTTCTGTGCCGGCAGGGGTGTGTCCAGGACTCAGGAGAGGATGCACTGCGTGTCCACACATGGAGAAAATACCCTGCTGCTCCACAATGCAACTGGGGGCAAACGAAATCGCAGCCCAGGTCTCCAATTCCTGTGCCGGGCGTTTCTCGGGAATTCAGTCCAATATGTGCCTGATGGTAACAATCAATGCAACGCCCACTTATTGGCTGCCATATAGATATATCATATATAGATATGGCATTCACTTCTCATTTTCACATTCTCCAAGGAAGGTATTGCGGTGACAAGAGGGTTAAAACTCTCAGCACCCAAACTTCTTTGACAACACACTTCTCTGCCCAGCAGGAACTAGGCAGTCATGAGGCACAACACTACTGAGGACAAAACACAGCACGAGATAAAAGTGAATTTTAAAAAATGCTTTCCTCCCCCTGGGCTAATGTTATATCTTCTCCAAATACACAGACCTTGTGTAAGTCTGAGGGCCCTTTGTGAAGCCTGAACAAGACCTCGCCAGTTTGCAGCTTTAGTCATGATGCTGGTGTTCCCCAGAATCCAAGGAACGGGGAGCCCTGGCAGATGCATTTCTAGAAAAGCTGCATTTGCCAACTCAGACCTTGCCTGCGTCTTTATTCCCTTATAAAAGGGCCTGTCTATCACCCTGAATGTGCTGAACTTCTCATGGAAACTTGCTCACTGTCCCTCTCAACAGGGATCTAAATAAACTCTGTCTTTCCTGTAATTGTTGTTGGCAAATTCTTTTTACCCCGTGTCACCAGCCTGCCATGCTCTGTCTGGCACAGCTGGTTTTACTAATCTAACTTTAGAGGTAAGACTGAGGCCCCGAGGGGTGGCAGAGCTAGAAAGGTCAGTGATTGGCCTGTACCACATCCAGCCACTAAAAGCCGAGCTGCTCACGGACCTGAAGACCACACTGAGCAGTGTGCCTTCTCGGCCACAATGGGCAGGGAGTCAGAGGCACAGAGGAGCTGAGGGTTCGCAGGAAATGTGCACCCAGCCACCCTGCGCACCATGTTAGTTTCTTCCGGCTCTAGGCCTCTGTGGAGAGGATCATGGCAGATTCTTGTGGACAGACTGGGTCGACACTGTCTTTGACCCCAAAGAAACGCAAACAGAAAGGCCCCCCAAACAAGTCAATGTTTGTGGTGGGGAAGGTGTGTGTGGAGGAGTCACTTCACTGAGCAGAACACAGGGGAGACCCCGACTCTGCTCCGGGCAGCATTCGTCCAGGGGACAGCGGAGTGAGCGGCACCCAGGCAGCCTGGTGCGTCACGCTCCTCAGTGTCCCAGGCCCCTCGAGGCCTCCACTTGTCTCCTGTCACCTCCTTCCTGGGCCAGGAAACTTTGAACAACTTTTCCCTATCTGCCTTATCTGAAAAGAGTTACAGTCTCGGTCTCCCACAGAACCAGAGCAAATGGCTCAGAGAAGTGAATAACCCAGTCTGCCTAAGGTTCTGTCCTCCTGCAAGCTGTGTGGAAATCAGCTTCTGGGTGGGGCTTTGTTCTCCACACCTGGCGGCCATAGTCTTTCTCTCCAAGTCACTTGGACTCTGTCTCAAATGGACCAGTGAGGGCTCCGCAAGGTGGGATCATCTCCTCCTTGCAGCCCTCCGCCCCCAGCCTGAAGTCAGAGTCCACAGCTGCAGCCCTCAGCTGCTTCCCTGAGATCACAGAGTTCCCAGATGTTAAGATCTTTGTCTCGTGTACACAAGAACGGGCCACGCTATGCCCTCCTCCTCAGCCCGTGTGACTCATCCTCACCAGGGTCTTTCTGAGAAGAGAGCTGTGATCTTACAGAAAAACCCACAGTTACTTGGCCCTGCAGCCCTGCCTTGCTAGCCCAGGGCTGTGCCATGCTCCCTAGCAGGAACACAGGTCCAATGGCCCCTCCTAACCTCCCGGCCTTGTCACTAAACAAAACTTCCACACTGGGATGAGCTGTACAGTGAAGGGAGGACACTGGTCATGACCACTTCCCCTGCCCCATTCCTTTACATCCAAATACACTCTTTTTCTTACATAAATGCCGATCCCATGAGTGGTCTGTTTTGACTCCCCTTGTTTTCCTCCCCAGCATCTGGGCCAGAAAACATGGCAGCGACAACATATAGGAAAGCCAGATGTCGTGGACTGGAAGGTGTGGGGGAGTAGCAAGGTCTCCTGCTGGCTGGCTGTTTCTCATGGTGGTGACTTGGCAAGGCGTATCCTCTCCTCTGTCCCTCTGTGAGTCGGGGGTAGTGGCTGAGTCACCCAGCCCAGGATGGGCGTGTCCTCGGGCAGCCATGATAGGCCTGAGTGTAGACAAGGACCCTCTGGGCCAGGGCATGGCCAGTACCCTGCAGAAGGCTGCAAACTCCATGCCTCTGTACCTGCTCCTGACCTAGGCCCTTCGCCCCACTTGGTCCCTGGCCTGCCGAGGTGGTGAGGCCATGACCCCGCCGGCTGACCAATGAGATGTCCTCTTGGTGGCGAGTGTTGCACCAGCGAGCATGAGGAGGAAGCTGACCGCGCGTGACTGGAAGAACGTCGCTGCCCCGTGCATCTGGGCCTCTGGACATTTCCCGATCCTGCTGGCTTTCTCTCCCTTTCTCCAGGCTGGGCTGCCTCACTTTCTCTTCTGCTCCCGTCCCCTTGATCATTCCCTGCCATAAACTTTCTTCTCCTCCTTATCACTGGAAAGTCTACTCCTCAGGCAGCTGTGCTTGCAAACAGCTGGCTCCAAAGCAATGCCCAGGTTGTCCGTCACGGACTCTCCCCGCTCAGCAGCCCTTGATATGGGAGGACAGGATACCAAGGAGACTCTGGCTCCTCCTTATCCCTCTCCTACCCCCGAACGCACAAAGGGCCCTGAAAAGGCCTCTGCCTTCAAGCCATCGGCCTTACCTGAGAGCGGGAGCTGGGCCTGCAGGGTGACCGCGATAACCAGCGTCTTCGCCTTCATCCTGGCCTCCCCAGCACAGTACCAACAGGCAGGGGCTCAGGGGGCTGCAGCCCAGTCACAGAGGAAAGAGGGCTCTAAGGAGTCTCTGCCACAGAAGTCTGCTGGCTGTGTCTTCTCCTCAGGAAGTGGAGGCCTGTGGGCCTTTGAGAAAGTACCTGCCAGCCGGGCTGAGAAACTCACTCCCCCTTTTGGCTCACAGGCAGGAAGCTCCGGAGGTTTGAGGGTTTGGGGTGTGAGTGTGTGCATCAGCCTGACTGTCTCAATTTTGCTTTTCCGCTCCTTGGACCATTATTCTACGGCCCTTTATTTATTTATTTATTTATTTTCCTAATTCTTGTCTAATTTCCATCTCTCTTGACTGGTGAAGTCAGTCCCAAGGCAAATGAGAGTTCCCAGTGCATGTGAGAGCAATTGCCACTTTCCTAGACCCTCAAGCGTCTTTGGCAGGTCAGTAAGGTGAAGAGGCGGG